TTAGTGTCTGGAAACAGAATGGAGTATAATCTACTGAGACATGAAGACTAATCAACCCAGGCAATGGAGCTTGGTTCTTTAAGGCTGCTGAGGATTCTGACAGGTCTTACCATGCAAAAAAAGCCTTCAAGTAAAGGTCTAGTGATACCTTTTCTAAGCTGTGCAAAGAGAAGTCCTGCTAAGTGTCAGAAAGGCATATCAGCAGATTATTCATCATTTATTGCAGGTTATATCCCTTCTTGTATTTCAGATTCTAATACTTGTTTTTTCTTTATTCTTAGACAAAATATTAACATATGTGCCAGAATTTGGGATGAATAAATGAATGAAAAATCATTTATTAAGCACTCACTATATGCCAAGAACCATGCTAAGCACTGAGGATAGAAAAAGTAAAAGTTACTTTTCTCAAGCTCACATCCTAATAGAGGGAGACAACTCATTAAAAAAAATATTTAGTTGTAGTGTAGTGTAGAAAGTTCTGGAAGTCCTAGGGGGCCTTGGTGGAGTGAAAGACAAGGCTTAGAGATCATTAGTTTATATTGATGGGTCTGATGAGACCACCAGGAATCTGGAGGGCAGAGGCAAGGCAGATGCTAGGGCCTGGTGGTGCTCCTCATATGAAAGAAGAGAGTCGATGATTCCTGTCTCACCCAAGTCGTCAACAGTCAGGCAGTTCTGAACTGACCTGGATCAGGCCAGTGTAGGGGGTTCTTTAAGGATCTTAAATTCTAAGAGAGTAAGACAACACATCAAGGAAAGTGGGAAGTAGAGTAGAGGGTAGGGCATAGTATAGGGAAGGCATGATATTCTTCTTAGGCTTAGAAGTGGCCAGGAGGCTTACAGTCTGGCAACATAAGGCAAAAGCTAACCAAGGGCAATAGTACAGATGTGGCTGGAAAGTGAACATATTGTCTTTGAATCAATAGACTGGCATGATGAACTTGGTGTGAACGAGGCCTGGATGATTCCCTAAATACAAAATGTATGCTGCTTAGGTTGGTTGAGGAATTTGGTCATAACCTTTTGATGAGGTAGAAAAGGGTGCTTGAGGCAGAAGAGCAAGCAATAGTGAGACCGTAGGTAAGACGTTGGATGTGACCAGTCAGAAAAGTGATCAAAGAAGACTATGCATTGAAGACCCCACTGTGGACTTATCTGTGTGCTTTCACAAAGCACCCTCAATTCCTGAACAGCTCTTCCCCTCCCCTTTCCCGTTCTCTTTGCTTATCACCTCCAGACTACCTGATATCCCAGGCATTTTGGAGCCCCGCTTGCTCCTCCCATTCTCTTGTTCCCTTCCCCCTATTCCATAAAATTCTATTTAAACGATACCTTTGACCTGGCTAATCACCTTTGCCTCCTACAGAAAGCAGGGGCTCTCTGCTCCCTTAGGGGAGCAGGGCCTGCGGCCTGTGCTCTGCCTTCCACATGTAGAGCCCATTGAGGTTCTGCTTCAAAGGGAGCAGGCCTGCTTGGGTACATCACCCCAGTAAATGCCTTCCTTTAACTTGGAGACTGTCCGAGGGAATTATTTCAGGACACTGGGACCCGCACGTCTATGTCTCATCATTTCAGGTAGCACCCCAACATTCTTGGGGTCCCCCTGAACTCATCACCAACGGCTACAGGGGTCTAAGTTAATTCTTGCACACCTGAACACCTGAACCCGACCGCAACACTTTCAGGCTTACATAAAACCAGCAAGCAAGTTAAAGAATTGAGAACTTGGGTTTCTGGCCACAGATAATGGAATGGGGACTCTTAAAAACGGAGTCAGAAATAGGGGCAACAGGTAGAAAGGAGCTGTAGAAAAGAGCAGAGAGTTCAAGGTGAGTTACAGGCATATCCGGGCAGAAGACTCAGACTGATGTCACCAGCTATACCCACCTTCTTAAAAAGTATAAGAAGTTACAAGGAAAGGTCTGTTCTTCCTCTCTGGGTGCCTATTAACAGCCACTGTAAAATATTCTGCTCTTTTTTGATAAAATAAATTTTGCCATAGCTACACAGATAGATATGACGGGTTAGGCAGAGAGCCAAACCCTGGCCTAAATATTAGGAATTTTCCTAATTTAGAGGTCTGAGCAATTGTAATTGTATGCTTAACTTTTCTGCTAAATTGAATTCCCTAAAGCAATAGAGGAGAGAATCTGGTGGACTTGAGGTTTTATTGCTCCTAGTCTTAAAATGAACTCATTATTATGATGTGGTATAGTTGCTTACATCTCCAGAGATAAAAGGGATTAAGGAGGAAAAGACAGAAAGACTACTGGTTACTTGCACCCTCTACAATGATACCTGCAGGCACTGAAATTAATACTTGTATGAACTGATATAGTGAAGTGAGCAAAAAACTACTTATATAAAAACATTGTAAAGAAAAACACCTCTGAAATACTTAAGAAATCTGCTCAATGAAAAGACCAATTCTGGAGGACTAATGATGAATCATGCTTTTTAACTACTGACAGGTTGTCAGTAAGGTGAATTTTAGTGCGTGCAAAGTGGATTTTTTGTTATTCTTTCTTAGAGCTTTCTTCCCAGTATCCATAACTATAACAATCTCTACATCCCAGGTGTTAGATATGAGTTCTCATAATGATGGTTCAAGACAGTTTCTACTTCACAGTCGCAGTAGGTATAGGGATGAAGTGATGAAAAGTGTGAGGTTATTGCTACCAGTGTGCCTTCTTTGTTGCCCTATAAAGCAAGTGGGCACTGGTCAGTGACTGGGAACCCCCATAGGGGTGAATGTGCAGGCTGAAATGCTGTGTGTGCCTTGATCGGCCCCCATCAAGGCTTGGGAGGGGGAAGCTGTGTTTGCCTCAACTGGCCCCTATTGAGGCTTGAGGGGATTTAGGTGATTGCACAAGTTGTGCTGGTCTCGACTGACCCCACCGAGAGGACGAGAGGACGGGTAGTTGCCCTCCCTTCCCATTATCAGCAAACTCCCTTTGAGAAGACTAGACTAGAATAAAGTAAGCTTATTCAACCCCTTATTATGACTCCATTCCTGTCTTCCCATCTGACCTGATCAAAAGCGAACCTGTTAGTGACAGAGGTGCTAGAAGCCCTCCTGTGTCTCTTTACTAAGAAATGGCATAGTCAATGTGTTTATTTGTCCTACACAGGCCATGGTCTCAAGGTTCGGAATGAGTTATATTTTTGAACACTGCCAATATTTAGGATTTCTTTTGCTTACCTATACTTAGGAGTGCCTTTTTTTTCCCCTTCCAATTTTGGATAGTAGTCAGGAGGGAGAGGGGCCAGCAAGATTACTGTTTCCCTTTCCCTACTCCATTATAAAAGAAAACAGAGACTGAAGCATTCCTAAAAATGAACAAGATACAAAAAGAAATTCAGAAGGAAACAGATGAACAAGTTAGCTTTGAACTTAACATTGCATTTATTATACATTTTTAAATAAAGCAGAGATTTATGGTTTTATGTATAATTTATTATCTGATACAGTTTACGGAAATCATTCTATTGTTTGTTAAACTCAGAATACCTTTTGAAAAAATTTTTACGAGAGAAAATATTTGCAAGGTCACTTGAACACTAATCTGAATGTTATTTATTATACATACATAGTAGGAACTTGATAAAAAGCTTGTTGAATTATATTTGTGTATTTCTGGGTCTATTATTTGCCATTTAATTATTTTATGAGAATAATACACTGTTTTTAGGAGAAAACAAAGACCATGAAAGTGAAAAATATTTCATACTTTAAAATCAGTATTTTACTAGCAAAATTTGTCTCTCACCTACTTTTAATAAAACATTTTATCATGGTCAAATTATTCTTCAATACCACGTTTAGCTACTCCTCTGGTCAACAACCTACGGTAACTCTCCCATTTCACTAAGTTACAAGCACAAAATCTTGTGTCTGTCCACACAACACAGTAGAGGGAACATTGTGTCATGTGCCGACAGTATCATAGTACCAACAAATTTTGCTAAGTGTTGAGCTCAAGAAGCATGGAAAATAATTTCACAGGTGAGCGCCAAAGGGATATGGAAAGTGGAACAACCAACGAAGAAAGATGCTTCATTCACTCGAGGGCTACTGAACATGGTCTGTTTTTCAAGTCCACCTCCCCACACTGATGATAGGCATCAACAGCTTGAGCTGATGTATCTTATCTAACCAACTTTATTTCCCATTATTTTCCAACAGGGATCTTATTACTATTTTCCTCTCTATCATATGAATCACTTGGATCATTCACACTTCCATGCCACTATTCCCATTGATCTCTTTCTCCTGGGATTTCATCCTCCCACTCCCCTCTCCCCCCCCAACATCAATGCAAATCCTACTCATTAAGGCAAAGCTCACATTCCACCCCTTCCTAAAATGTCTTCCCTACCTCCTTCCCAGTTTTGACAAACTACTACAGAATGTATTCTGTACACACTACTACTTAATTACATAATGTATTATTCACTAGTTGTTTTGGTTTTGCTTTCTAAATTTAGTTATTTGGAGACAGTAGCCCTAAATAGTTCCCCCTTCCATATAAAATGAGAAGGTTAAGTTAGAGAATCCTTATGGGACCTCTGAAGCCATCTAGTGCAATTGCTTCATTTTTCAAATAAGGATACCGTGACCCATAGAGGTTGTGACTTGTCCAAGGTCACATAAGTAGACAATAAAGCAGGGATTCAAACAGAAGTACTCTACCTCCAAAATCATCTTATTATAAACAACATTAAGATAACAGAAAGGAAATTATTGAGGGCAGGACTAAGAATTGGGAGAGATGAACACTTCCTTTTCCTATTTGGAGGAAAAGAGATATAAGACTACATGCTAACACCCTCGCTTCATTAAAATTGCTGAATACTCATTTCTTTCTCTATTTAAAATGACAGGTATGGCACACAATTTGGTCACCAAATTACAATTTAGGATCTTCTTTTATTTGTTTTTAAACTTCATCATTAATCCTTTTCCTTCACAGTTTAAGACATCCTTAACTTTTATATTCTCTCTGATTCAGGTCCACATTCTCATTCATATCTCTGTGTTGTGGTTTAACAGTTAAAGTCTCCTTCCCTAAAACTTCCTTCACAACCATGACATGTCTTATCCTCTAACTCTCTCAACTAGCACCTCATTCAGCTTGTTCCTTGCCCCTCTACCAATGAAGCAAAAATAGATTAAAAACATTTGTGCGCTTTTATATTAGTAGCACAAACATTTGTGGCTTTTTCTCAAGTTTCTTAGTGGCTTTATCTTTCATTTGGAGGAGGAATCTTATTACTATTCCTTTTCCTCAGGTCTGTTTTCTACATAAATTGTAATGACATCTACTGGAATACAAACTCCTCAGAATTAGAGACATCTTATGTCTTTATATCATTCAGAGTGGTTAAAACAGCAAGTTGAATACAAGAGGTCCCCCATAATGAATTAACAACTCCTCCAACAATTTTAAATTATCCTAATACCCCCTAACAAAAGCATTGCTTTTTTCCCTAACTTCTTTGGATATAAACCACTTTAGTTAGATTGTTCATCAGAACCAATTTCTTGAGCATATGTACCTTTATCAGAACAATACATAAAATGAACAGAAAACTTTAAAAGGCTTATAACGTTGCATGACCTATTCCAAATTTCGTCTACATGATTTTGAACACTAAAAGCATGGCACATAAGCAAATTTTTATTTTGCATTTCCATAATGAATGCATTCACATAATTTTACGTATAAATTAAATAAGCAATGTAAATGTCATAAAATTTTAGTAACTCTATAATGCCAGGTTTTTAAAAAGTTAAATATGAAAAAAACCTCAATCTTACACTGTATACCCAGGAAGCTTATTTATTACTAACTCACAAATGTCTTTGTATTGTTTGCAAATATCTAGTGAGCCAAGTTCATCATTTTCTTCAAGCTGGTCTGAAGCAATGCTATCCAGGGCACTAAGTTCTAGTTCAGACATATTAGATGGCAAATAAGAACTCACTTGAGATGTCCTTAGTGACTGGCTCTTTTCTAAAGATTTTTGGCCAGTTCTTGAATTAACTTGATCAGGAACACCTTGAGTATTCCTCATTTCAGAATTATGAATGTTATTTTGGTCATCATGTTTTTTCTTCCCTTCACTGCAACGTAACGAAAGGTCATTGCTGGAGATACTATTTCCATCTACTAGACTTCTGCCATGAGACTTTGAAAGATGAGATTTTTTAAATGAATGTACTGGTGAGCCAGCTGAAAAAGGTGGGGTAAGAACAGAATTAACTTCACTTCTATGGCTTTTTCCAGACATTTTAGATTCACTAGACTTAGAATCAGTATCTAAATAAGAATAACTGAGGTTATCTGCTTCCAGTTCAGGACTACTATCATGAACTCTAGAACTTCCGAAAGTATCATCAGCAGTGGAGAAATCTTCAGAATAGCAAGGACTAGTAAAATCATCAGAATACTTCAGTTCAGATATGCTTTCAGAATGGCTATTTTTACTTGGTTTACTATCATTTGAATTATGAGGATGAAAATCACAACCCACAGTTCCATTTGCTCTATTACTAAAATCTATGACAATATTATCTATTCTAGTATTCTCTGTGTCAACATCTAGAAGATGGACTTTTCCTTCCTTCTTAAATCTTTCTGAAACATTTATAGGAATGCCTTTTTCTGGTAAAATGGGGTTTATCAAAGCAACAGTTTCTATAAATGACTCCTTATTTGTTTTGATTTCAACATTTATCTCTTTCTCAGTTCCAGTTCCTGAAACATGAGTTTCTTTTGTAGAGCTTTGGCCTTCAGATTCCACCCCATCTTGCTTTAAAGTTTTACTGTTTTTAGTGAAAAGAACACCTGAAGCAAAACACAGATTACTGGGAAGTGTGTGTGACTTCCCAGGTTCTTTTGTGGAGCTTTTTCCTTTAGATGGCAAAATTTTAAGCTTTTCTGTATCTGGCATTTCTGTTTTTATTTTTCTATACTGTTCTCTTTTTTCATGTAATAGTAACATGTTTGGGTTTGTCCGCTTCAAACGGAGTTTGAGTGTATTTGTAAGGCCATAAAACAGCTTTTTTCTTGGAACTACTTTTTTTTGGGTGCTGCTTTTTTCAAAACATACACCTTTTCTGAGCTTGTGTCCAACCTCTTTCCTTACTGATGGAGGGCTTAGGACCTCTTCTTTTTTCTTAGGTAAAAACTTGTCTCCCACTTCTTCAGTTTTACAAGTAGCATTGTCAGAAGGTTCTGGGGCCTTCCCATCCTCAGGCCTGTATAACCAGGATAAGTGAGGGTGTATACCAGTAGCAGTTTCAAGGGGCTGCTTATATAATAAAGATAACTCAACCAATAAAGCATTTAATAGAGGTAGCTGCCTTATTGTGTCAAGTTTATCTTGGTCAAAAAGTATACCGTGGTCAGGCTGAGATTGGGCCATTGCAGTCTGACTCTGATCTGATGGGGCACCATGGTTCATTACCAAGGGGCACAGGACCTTTTCTTTCTGAACCATATCATTAGATTCCCTAGGCATACTAATCTGAGGTACAGTTATGAATTTGCCCTTAACTGGTGGTATCTTTTTTGGCTCCAGATTAGAATAATAAAGAGGTGGTGGGCAAATTATGTTTGTTTCAAGTTCTAACTCTGTGACTTCCTGATTTTTTGGACTAACGCTTTCCCCAACCTCATTTGACAATGTAGTCTCCAAATGGGAAGAGTCTGTCAATTCTGTATCTGTATCACTCCTGCTGCATTTGCTGGGAGTTTTAACTATCTTAACCACATATTCCTGTTGCTTTGGTTTAGTTTTATCACAGGTAACTATCTCAATCACTTCTTCCTGCTGCTTTGGTTCTTCCAAATCTTCCAAATTCTCTGGATCCACTTGAGCAAAGCTGATGAGAGGTGGAGGAAATGGCTGTTTTCCCTGTGGGGCTGGGGGACTACTCTCATTTGTCCTCATTTTCTCCACTCTACTAACCCCAGCCCCGGCAGGAACCTCCTCCCTCTGGAAGGCCCCGGGTGTCTTTGGGGGAATATGGCCCAGCAAGGCGCTCCCCAAATCGGTCAAGCGGTAGCCTAGGTAAATTTGCCCGACTTGCTCCCCCATTAGGTCTCTCAAAACGTAAAGACCTCGGTGGCCCTGGGAGGCTCCCGTGGCAGAGAGCCCCTTCCCCTCTCCGATGAGCCCCCGGGCAGCGGGAGCCAGGGAGATGCTACAGCTGCCCAAGAGCTTCGGGGCCGGGGTCGGGCTTCCGGGGGGCACTGTCAGGAGCAGCGCGTAGAGCGGCGAGAGGCCCAGCAGGCGCTGCAGGGTGGCCGCATCCAAGCGGAAGAGGCAGGACTTGCCGCGGCCAAAGACGAACGAGCCGGGCCGGCGCCCGCGGGAAGGAGCGGCGGGGCCTCCCGGAGGGTACACCAGCAGCGTGGGGAAGTCCAGCAGGCGGAAGGCCACGGCCAGGCGAAGGGAGCCGGCGAGGGTGGCCCGGCCTCCTCTTCGTTCTCCGGAGGCAGCGGCGGCAGAAACCGCGTTTCCAGGCGCACCCAGTCCACAAGCAGGTCCAGGGAGAAAAGCCGCTCGGCCGCAGGCTCGCGGACGGTCGCCATCGCGTTGCCCCGAGAGATTCGGACGCCTCCGCACCAGAGGGGAAGCGGAACCCAGTAACTACAGAATCTCGCGAGAGTCTCGGAAAGCCGACGCTGAGCGGGAAACATACAGGAAGATGGAGGAGATGAGAGGGGAGAAGCGAAGCGGGGCGGGGCCACCGTGGCTTATTAACTTCTCGCGAGATTGGCGGGATATGGCCTAGTGGTCCGTGAGGATTTTCTCATTTTCTTTTAGAAAGTTCAGCAGTGCGCCTGTGAGTTCTCTTGCGTTTTAGCAGAACGTGGCCCAAATCTTCTTCCCTTAGAAGACCCGGTTCAAATCCCACCGCTGTGAGTGCCTGCCTGTGTGAGCTAGGAAGCTCTCTTAACCTTGGGTCTCAGTTTTCCTCACCTGTAAAATGAAGGGGTGGGGGCCTAGATGGCTTCTCAGATCCCTTCCTGTTCTAAATCTAGAACGTTCTGGACTCTGCAGCTCCACCTGGGAGGTTGGGGTGCCTGTAATCAGGGCATTTCTTTTTTGATGAAATTGGAGGCCCGAAATCAGGACTCGTCTCTGAGGAGCTGGCCACTTATCTCATAAGTGGAATTGGGGGGGGCAGGGAGAGGAAGTAGGCGGTGGAGAAGGGGAGGCCCCGCTGCCTGCCTTTCCCTGACTGCTGCTGTGCTAAGAGGAGGAGCTTGACCCCCAACAGTTTAAGTGACTGAGAAAGACTTTTTAAAATTACAAACCTTTTAAGACTTCTTGGTGTGCAGCTGGTCAAATTCACTAAAAGCTACTGTTGAGAGCCTGTTGGGACAGGGATGTTATAATAATAATTTCCAGTGTTTCTATAATGCCTTAAGGTTCAAAAAGCGATTTTTACAAATGTAAGCACCCTTAGATCCTCACAAAAACCCTGTGAGGTAGGTGCTCTTATTCTCATTTTACAGATGAGGAAACTGAGGCTGAGACAGCTGTTAAGTGATTTGCCCAAGGTCACACAGCTAGTTAAGTGTCAGAGGTAGAATTTGAACTTGGCTCTTTATGAGTTACTGGACGGTATTCTATCCAGTGCCACCCAGATGCCAGTTATGATAGGATCGTGCAGGTGCAAGATCGTGGATATCATCTAGTCCAATTCCCTTATTTTTCAGATTGTGAAAGAGGCCCAGAGAGAGATTAAGTTCGCGTCCAAAGTCACGGGTAGTAAGCAGCAGGGTTAAGGTTCAAATTCAGATTTCCAGATTCTAAATCCAGTTCCTTTTCCACTATATGGTACTGTTCTTTGTAGGGAAAGGCATTCTGTTACCAAAGATTAGGGTAGATAGTACCTCAACCTGCTCTAATACTTATAAGCCTGTTTGACCTTAGTCACTTCTGATCCAGTCCTGCTCTAAATTTGTGATCTATGATCTCTGACTTTGAGGAACTTAACATGTCATTTGAGAGATTCCACTTACTCTGGTTAAATGACATCTTCCATAACTCTGCATAATACTGTCCTTGCACATAGTAGGGACCCAAAATAAAGAAAGTTCTGAATCCTCTCCCTTATATTTAGTGCTGTTTCCCTTCCCAAATTATTTATTTATATACATGTTAACTACTCCAGGAGAATATAAGCTCCCCCAGCACATAATAGTTGCTTAACAAGTCCATCAATTTATGAATGCATGATTATATAAATCAGGATCTATTTGTTGAAGGAATAAATAATAGAGAGTTTAGTTTTAGTTGAATGTGTTCATTTTGGGAAAGCTTCCTACAATAAGTATTAGGTTTAAAAAAAAGCTTCAAAAACTGTGTTCCCTTTATAGTAGCTCTCATAACACATAAAGCTTTATGTAGTATATATGTTATATTTACTTCTTGGCCTACCCCAACCTACCACTGCCATGGTTATTATGTAATTTTACTATAAACAAAAGGAATGAAGTGCTTTCATATGTATTATCATGTTTTTTTTTAATTTAGATTTTTTAATTTTTTCCACATGCTTTTGAGTTGAAAATTTTTCTCCCTATTCCTTCCCCGCACCCTCCCCAAGACGGCGCACAATCTGATATAGGCTTTACATTTACATACCCATTAAACATATTTTCACATTAGTGAAGTTGTAAGTAACAATTAAAACCAATATGAGGAACCATCAGAAAGATGAAACAAAACTCAACAGAAGGTAAAAATAAGTGATAGCAATTCGACTTCAATATTTCTTTCTTTGGATGTGGACAGCATTTTCCATCCGAGGCCTCTGGAGATGTCTTAGATCCTTAATGCTGAGAAGGGTTCAGTTTAACAATCTTAGTCATTGCATAACATGGCTGTTATTGTGTACAAAGTCCTCTTGGTTCTGCTCACTTCACTCAGCATCAGACCATATAAGTCTTTCCAGGTTTTTCTGAAGTCAGCCTGTTCATCATTTCTTCTAGCACAGTAGTATTCCAGTACATTCATATACCACAACTTGCTCAGCCATTCCCCAATTGATGGGCATCCTCTCAATTTCCAATTCTTTGCCACCACAAAAAGAGCTGCTATGAATATTTTTGTACATGTGGGTCCTTTTCCCATTTGTTTGATCTCTTTGGGATATAGCCCTAGAAGTGCTATTGCTGGATCAAAGGGTATGCACATTTTTGTAGCCCTTTGGGCATAGTTCCAAATTGTTCTCCAAAATGGTTGGATCATTTCACAACTCCACCAACAATGTATTAGTGTTCCAATTTTCCCACATCTTCTCCAACATTTATCATTTTCCTGTTTTGTCATGTTGGCCAATCTGATAGGTGTGATGTGGTACCTCAGAGTTGTTTTGATTTGCATTTCTCTAATCAATAACATTTAGAGCATTTTTTCATATGACTATAGATGGCTTTAATTTCTTCATCTGAGAACTGTCTGTTCATATCCTTTGACCATTTATCAATTGGGGAATGGCTTGTGTTCTTATAAATTTGTCTTAATTCTCTATATATTTTAGAAATGAGGCCTTTATCAGAGAGACTGGTTGTAAAAATTCTTTCCCAATTTTCTACCTTCCTTCTAATCTTAGTTGCATTGGCTTTGTTTGTGCAAAAACTTTTCAATTTAATGTAATCAAAATTATCCATTTTGCTTTTCATAATGTTCTCTATCTCCTGTTTGGTCATGAATTCTTCTGTTCTCCATAGATCTGATAGGTAAACTATTCCTTGTTCTCCCAGTTTACTTATGGTATCAGCCTTTATATCTAAGTCATGAACCCATTTTGACTTTATTTTGGTATATGGTGTGAGATTTGGGTCTATGCCTAGTTTCTGCCATACTCTTTTCCAGTTTTCCCAGCAGTTTTTTTCAAAGAGTGGGTTCTTATCCCAGAAGCTGGGGTCTTTGGGTTTATCAAATAATAGATTACTATAGTCATTGACTACTGTGTCTTGCATATTTAACCTATTCCACTGATCCACCTCCCTATTTCTTAGCCAGTACCAAGCAGTTTTGATGATTGCTGCTTTATAATACAATTTAAGATCTGGAATTGCTAGGCCACCTTCCCCTGCATTTCTTTTCATTAGTTCCTTTGATATTCTGGACCTTTTGTTTTTCCAAATGAATCTTGTTATTATTTTTTCTAACTCTATAAAATAATTTTTGGTAGTTTGATTGGTATGGCACTGAATAAGTAAATTAGCTTAGGTAGGATTGTCATTTTTATTATATTAGCTCGGCCTACCCATGAGCAACTGATGTTTTTCCAATTATTTAGATCTGATTTTATTTGTGTGAAAAGTGTTTTGTAATTGTGTTCATAGAGTTCCTGGGTTTGTTTTGGGAGGTAGACTCCTAAATATTTTATAATGTCTACAGTAAGTTTAAATGGGATTTCTCTTTCTATCTCTTGCTGTTGGGCTTTGTTGGTAATATATAGAAATGCTGATGATTTATGTGGGTTTATTTTATAGCCTGCAACTTTGCTAAAGTTGTTTATTATTTCAAGTAGTTTTTTACTTGATTCTCTAGGATTCTCTAAGTATATCATCATGTCATCTGCAAAGAGTGATAGCTTTGTTTCTTCTTTGCCTATTCTAATGCCTTCAATTTCTTTTTCTTCTCTTATTGCTAAAGCTAAGGTTTCCAGTACAATATTGAATAACAGTGGTGATAATGGACATCCTTGTTTCACCCCGATCTTATTGGAAATGCTTCTAGCCTGTCCCCATTACATATAATGCTTGCTGAAGGTTTTAGATATATGCTATTTATTATTTTAAGGAAGACTCCATTTATACCTATGCTTTCTAGTGTTTTTAATAGGAATGGGTGTTGTATTTTATCAAAAGCTTTTTCTGCATCTATTGAGATGATCATGTGGTTTCTGTTGGTTTTGGTGTTGATATGCTCAATGATGCTGATAGTTTTCCTAATATTGAACCAACCCTGCATTCCTGGTATAAATCCTACCTGGTCATAGTGTATTATTCTTGTGATAAGTTGCTGCAATCTACTTGCTAGTATTTTGTTTAAAATTTTTGCATCTATATTCATTAGAGAAATTGGTCTATAATTTTCTTTCTCTATTTTGACTCTTCCTGGTTTAGGTATCAACACCATATTTGTATCATAAAAAGAATTTGGTAAGACTCCTTCTTCACCTATTTTCCCAAATAGTCTATATAGTATTGGAATTAATTGTTCTTTAAATGTTTGATAGAATTCGCTCGTAAATCCATCTGGCCCTGGAGATTTTTTCCTGGCTTGTTCAATTTCTTTTTCTGAGATGGGGTTATTTAAGTATTTTACTTCCTCTTCTGTTAATCTGGGCAATTTATATTTTTGTAAATATGTATCCATTTCACTAAGATTGTCAAATTTGTTGGCATATAGTTGGGCAAAATAATTCCTAATTATTGTTTTAATTTCCTCTTCCTTGGTGGTAGCTTCGCCCTTTTCATTCTTGATACTAGTAATTTGGTTTTCTTCTTTCTTTTTTTTAAATTAAATTAACCAAAGGCTTATCTATTTTATTGGTTTTTTCATAAAACCAGCTCTTAGTTTTATTTATTAGTTCAATAGTTTTCTTAATTTCAATTTTATTAATTTTTCCTTTGGTTTTCAATATTTCTAATTTGGTGTTTAGTTGAAGATTTTTAATTTGTTCTTTTTCTAGTTTTTTTAGTTGTATGCCCAATTCATT